ACAGCATCATTACGACGAAAGCTACTAAAGAAACCATGTGGAATATAGTTGGATGGATGTTGTATGTGGCGCAGCAGATGGTATCTAATAGCATGATTGTTCCGAAAGTGCAGTAGAAAGTGTAGAAGAAGCCACGATCCGTAACTTTCTTCGTCTTAATTATGGTGTTGGAGACTATGCAAAGCACTAACAAGAAGGCAGCAAGTTGTAGAAAGATGGTGTAGCTTTCTAGTAGACAAATGGAGATATTTCCGACTATAGCGCGAAGTAATACATCAGAGAAATCAGGTAAAAGCAGCAGGAACAACGCGTCGTATATTGCTATATTGATGAGGATGAGGTTGGTCCTCGTCCACAAACGTTTGCTCCTTGTGAAGACGTAGATGAGAAGGGCATCACTTGCTATTCCAATTATAGCTATTACTATGATCAGAGCCTCCTGAATGTGGTATTTCAACGGTCTCTGGTACTCCGTCGCGTTCTCGAAGTAGCTGATGTCCTGTTCCATCTTGAATTTAATAACCACTGGAAATTGAACGCTCGAGGTGCTGCTTTTATCAACTTCCCCACCCAAACACACATCGTTCTATAATTGACTGCACGTTGCCAGAGATAATCGACGGAGATAATCGTTGCACACAGTACTTTGTTCTTCCGATGGGCCTGTTTATGTTGTCGGAAAGCATCAACGTGCCTCGTGCAAATTAAAGTAATTGTTACAAAAAAAAATAACAATAATTTAATAGACGTTTATTTCATAAATTACGTAAATAACACAAGGCAATTTGAACACATTAAGTAATTGCTGAAAAAAACAAATAAATTTACTTGTTGTTTTCCTACAAATTACCTAAAAAACGGCAACGTTGTACGTGGATTTATGTAAGTAAAAGCAATTAGGCAACTTCATTTTATGAAGCATACTACAGTAAGAATTATAATTGTATAAGAATTTGGAAGTTAACAACAAAAGTTTCAATGTTCAATAATGCAATTTTTGAAAATATAATCAAATTTATATCAATTTGTACTAAAAAAAAATTAGATTTGTAGAGTCAACCTTTTTTTAAATATAATTTTATACCTGTTTTCTTAACCGGTTAATTCAAATCATTTTTTATATATAAAAACCGGTTTTATTATGCAAAGTCAAGAATTCATTATAAATAGTCCAATTTTCAATTATTTAATATTTTAACGGTTGTAAATTCTTCAATATAGTTAGATTTAATTCAGAAAATGTTTTGTAAAGATTGATGGTATAAACAGAAACATTTGGACAAAACCGAAAACATATAAACATCAATCGGTATACTTTTGTTTTCTAAACACTATCTACATTTATTTTTCTTCTTCTAGTTTCGGTAAACGAAAATAGAGATTACGTCCGAACGATATTTTCTGTGGGTTCGAGTCGAGGGTTATCAGTATTGCTCCAGCTATGATTTGTTGTACTTGAGTCCACAAGAGAACACCGTAACCGCAGAGGACAGATCCGATCTGCAAATATACATTAGGTAACGTACTATCCAACATCAAAAAAGAAAATACACGCTCGTAAACAAACTAAAAACAATTAACTTTATTCATAAAACGAGAAATAAATGTTATAATTTTTTATTGTGTTTCTGCTTTTATTTTATAAGGAGATATCATTCATTGCTCGTTTGTTGTTTATAGCGTTTCGTTTTTATTTTTCGGTAATCATTTTACATGCTCGTGTTTATGAAAACATCGATGTGAAAAGAAATATGGTTTCAACTGTTTCGTGAAATGGAAAGAAAGCGACGTTTGTTTATTCGGAAATGCTCGTTTATCAGTGTGATGCAGTCTAATCTCGGTGTAGAAGTTGATAGTAATAGTAGGGTCATTATATCTTCACGTCTCCTTTCAATTGAAGCGATAGAAAGATGAATGGGATAAGTGTAGAGCATTTCCTATACTTCGTTTATTGAGTGCATTATGTTGTATTTGTTTGGTAATAAAATCGTTATGAGCTGATGAAAAGATTATATTCTCTTATCTCTATTACTCGTTTTAATAGTATCTGCATTTCTATAGGGTTTCCAAACAATTTTAATTGAAAAACGTTTGTTACTTGCGAAGTAAATTATCAAATATACTATAATACAAGGTGAATCAAAGGTATTGTTAGAAATGAGGAAAATAATGTTCGTATCTTTATATCTATATAGTGTGTATGCACCTTTATATAAACAAATCATGTTATTTCGACTTGTTACTGTAACAAATGGTAGCAAGTAATTTAACAATTGATGTGTCAAGTAATTATCATGTATTGTAAACTGTTTCGTATCTCTGTTGACTTTAAAATTTTATTTGAAATACTTTTTTACTTGTTATTTGGGAAGTAAATTGTTAAATCTGAACTCATGGTATTTTTAGAAATTATGAAACTAAAGCGCGTATTTTATTTTTAATAGTAGTGTGTACGTACCTTTATATCAAAGTAGTGTATACGTATCATTATATCAAAAAAGCAGTAACTTGTTGATTTAACTGTAACAAATCCTTTTGTTAATTGAGATTACACTTAATAAGTACCATGTAATTTGACAAGTACTTGTCGTGCATTGCGAGTTGTTAATTCATGACTTGACTTACAATTATACGCAGTTTTTACTTGTTACTTTAACAAATAGTAGCAAGTACTTTTTTTTGCATCATTTGATTTATAACTAATGACATTTCCTACACAACTTGTTACATTTTGAAGAGATTATTACATTAATTTATCTATTATTTATAACTGTTTGAAACAATGAGAATTGCAATATTGTTTTTGGTCCTTGGATATGTGATTAAGTGCTTTAATTGCAATTGTCCTGTGTTTGGTCATGTCTCGTCAAGGAGTTTCGAGAGGGTGAGGGATGGAATACATTTGACAAATGAGAAACATGTCCGGTGGTCAGTGGTTCGGACAGGACCACCCTCCAGCGTCCTCGATCGCAGCCCTTCAATCCCACACACCCTTCTTTTGCTTCCAACATGTTTCGCTACACCTGTTCTTCTCTCAGCATCATTGCAATATGATTTATATGCGTCTCTCTTTATCGCTTGTTTCGTGGTTAACCTCAACGTGACACGAAGAGTAGATGACAAAGTTATTACAATGCAAAATAAATTGTTAAAAATGAAGAAGAAGAATGATGTAACAATATATTTTAATAAATTTAAAAACTGATATTACTTACAATATAGTTTCATTATTGATAAAAGAAAGTTCAATTACATTGTTAAAAAAAATAACACTAAGATTATAATTGAAAAATTGCGTCAATTGTTCCGAATCATGGATAAATTTTGATACAAGTCAATAAAATTAAACATATGTCAGTTGAGCTGTCACTTGTCAAATAAATATGTACTGCTTAAATTTGACATTGATGATTTGAACTGTCACCTGTCAAATAAAAATTTAATATATTGAAGTCACTTTTAACGTATAGTATGTCCAATTTTATATTAAATTTGTCGACAATATTTAAAAATTTCAATTATATTATAGAAAATTAATACGAATCTAATTGTAAAATCATATAATAAAATATACGTGGCCGTTTCTAATGTATAGTGTGGAAACATCTTTATATAAAATTAAGAACAAAACTAAGAATATAATTGTGAAATAATGAGAATTGTTTCTAAACATGGGTAAAATTTGACATATGTCAACAAAATTTAACATATGTCAGTTGAGCTGTCACTTGTCTAGTGATTATGTTCGGATAATATTTGACATGTATCATTTGAACTGTCATCTGTCAAATGATAATTTAAATTTCTGAAGTCGTTTCTAATGTTGTGTATACACATACACATATGTGTATACACATACACATATGTGTATACACATACACATATAAAATTTGTCGACAATATTTGTAAAATTTAAATTATAGAAAATTAATACGAATATAATTGTAAAATCATATAAAAAAAACATCTTCATATAAAATTAAAAACAACACTAAGAATATAATTTTGAAATTTTGACATATGTCAAAAATTTAATATATGCCATTTGAGATGTCACCTGTCAAATGATTATGTATGGATAATATTTTACATGTATGATTTGAACTGTCATCTGTCAAATGATAATTTATATATAATTGTAAAAGCTTACGACTAAAAAAATGCGACATTGCTTCTAACACATAGTGTGAACGCACCAATATATAGATTTTTGATTATTTTTTTTTGGTTTGAATACATAAATAATCAATATAATTAAAATGTGAACTTGGTAAATCCAAGCGAAATGCAGTTTCATCGAGATTAAGCATATCAAATTGATGGGTGGATTGCTTTCGTGTAGGTATTTGAACGATCCGGGCGCTCGGGAATTCCAATACCTCAACGAGTTTCACGTAACAAAGACCGGAAAAGCCCTTTGGTCTTCATCATCCAGCTCGTCGCAAACGACAAAAAATCTCATCATTATTACATGCTAAATTGACCGCAACCACTAAATATTTCCAATTTAAATTAATTAATTAATTGCTCACAATTTACATCAAAAAATATGTTTAGAAAATCATTAAATTAATGAATTTAAATAAAAGTTATTATTAGCTGACATAACTTAACAACTTTTGATGTTACGTCAATTGTTCATGGGTAAATTTTGACATATGTCACTAAAATGTCATTTGAGCTGTCATGTGTCAAATAATTATGAATAACTAAAATTTGACATATGTCATCTGAACTGTCAAAAGATAACTATTCAAAGTTTACACAAAACACGAAATATACTTATTTTATAATTTAAATTAAATACATTAATTTGATTGATTGTTATTAGAAATGTAAAAAATATTCTAAATTTGATATTTCGTTGATCGAAACCAAGCAAAATTGTTTTTATATTACTGTAATTTTTCTATGTGTTTTTGGTTAAAATCTTCCAGAGATAGAAAAAAAAAGTTTCAAGAAATAAACGTGCGCAAATATTTAATCAACAAAAATACTTGAAGTCGTTTAAAAGTGAAAATATCTTGTCAAAATCTGTAAGGTAATATATATTACACTTATTCTTTAGTTATTAAAACGAATAACTAAAATCGTTATAGTGAATTTATTAAGACTCAAAGATGTGGAGAGTTTGCCCGATGTTCTCTGGTAAATACATGGATTTCGATATGATCCGACGACAACTCGCGGAGGTCAAAAGTATTCCCATTAGGGACGCCGTTCAAAGGGTTATCGATGTACCAAAATGTCATAAACCGAATGTTGAACATCTCGTAATGTTAAATGAAAGCATCAAAAGTCTGTACGAAGAAATACGTCTAATCATTACGGAAGAATGGGAAACCATCATGATTCATCTCATTACATGCAAGATGGAAGAAACAGTCAGACACAGTTTTCTAGATGATTCGACACTGTATCCTACAATGAATGCTGCAATGAAAGCCTTGCAGTCACGAGTAGATTGTGTCAAGGAAAGTAGTAAAAAAAGTTAATCAAATGACATGAGTCTATCAAATGACACTAGTTCATCGCATTGAATTAGAACAAACAATTTGTTATATTTCACACTTAAATAATTTTATACAATTAAATTTGAATTCATAAAATTACACATAATTGGAAATCAGTAAACTTTATGTGTATTTTTATTAATATTGAAACATTATGTAAACATGACATTTGGAAAAAAAACTTTTTCCAAATTATTTTCAAATTTTTTAATTTACTACAAATTGTCTTCTTAGCTCTCTGTAAAACTCATACATACTTATTATGTAATTGAAAGGAAAATGTAGCAAAATATTTTTGTAGCAAAATATTGTTTTTAATTTAAATAAAATTGTTTTTAAATTATGTAATTAATTTTTCAACATTATAAGTTGAGAATAAAACCTGAAATATGTTGTGATGCTGAGAGGCGACCGCAAAATGTAATATTTGCAAAATTAATTTCAGGAGGAACAGGATGCATTACCTGCACGAAAAGCTTGCGGCTCTCGGGGTTAGCCTAGGTTTGAACGTTATAGTCGTGTGTCTCCTAATCCACGCATTGGCAACCGAAAAGCAGATGAGAACCGCAACCACTGGATTCCTCATCAACTATTTCATTTCGGAATCGATGTACTCGCTGCAAGGAATTGCCTTCCTCGTCACAGAATCCGAGAAATACCTGCACGAATCCGATCTCTACATAAAGATCATAGCTCTACTCTTCCTCAAACTCCTCTTGATCGAGAGATACTTCAGCAAAGCAAAGTTTTTCCAATTGGTAGCCATAGTTTGGATCAAGTTCGTAGCCATCAAACTGTTGTTCAACTTCAATTCGCACATAGCCTTCATCGTCGCATACATCGTAACATTGATTGTGGTCATGACCACGATGATTATGGATCGATTCGCAACCGTACCCAAGTGCAAAATCTACTTCATTTGCGTTTATTTGATAGTTTCCATTGGCAACCTACTCTACGCTCTCGATTTTCAAACTGACTTCATCGTCGGCTTAAACTTCGTGCAAATGCTGAATCCAATTTACTTCTTAATTTTCTGGTACTTTGGCGATGAAGTCTTCCGTGTCCATTTACAAACTTTGTGCCAAAAACGTAAGGAGGAGGAAGAGGACGAAATCGACTTCTGTAACGAGGATGACAACGCATCCATCAACATCACCTTCAGCAAAAGCAATGCAACTGTTTAAAACTTAACAGCAATAAATAATAATTTAATTAAAAAGTTTTTTGTTTCTTCAAATTTTTAATTAAAGTTCGCCCCGCGTCGCTCTTAATTACGTAACGGTAAGTAGTAGTAGTTGTTGTTGTTGTTTTTCTTTCCTTCTCGTTTTGACGTGCAGAAGAAAACTGCGAGGAATTCGTTGAAGAAATGACGTGTGAGGAGTGACGAGGAGGTATGTAGCTTTTGTTTGGAATTAGTCTCGTGTAATTAATTGCTTCTTCCGTGCGGGGAGGAATAAAAGCTTCCGAAAGATAACGTAATTTCATCCCGAACAATTTCCAACAATGCATTAAGTTAATTAAAGTTTTCGTGCTAATCCTGGATTTTACGATTTCTCGAAAACACTAGTATCCTAATGGAAATAACAAAGAAATTAGAACACTTATTACAAATTTAATTGTTAAATCAGAAAGGGTCTTTTATTGCGCACATTTTCATATAATAATTGTTATATACTTTTAATTGATGACTGAGTTATGCAGATTTTTCATTTATTTATCACGTTTTATTTAACTCATTGAAAATTAAGATTAATGATAAATCTATGACCTTTCCAATGAACCTATTGACAGATTTATGATTATCACGTTTCTTTTGTTATGAGCTGTCAAATTTTAGTAAGAAAATTCGATATAACATTTTTCACGTTTTATATAATAACTCCATAATTAAAACCGCTAATAAACTCAATAAAAATAAAATTATGACCTTTGTAATGAATCCACTGACAGATTTGTGCTTGTCGTCTTTCTTTTCTTATGAGATGTCGATAAAACAACTGAGATGTTATTTTAATGAATTACCTAATTATGTTGATTTTTCGTTTATTTGTCACATCTTCGCATTTTCTACAATTACTCCATAACAAAAAGCGCTAATTATCTCAATGGAACTGAATATTAAAGATAGAACTATGGACCTTTCAATAAACCTCTTGATATATTTGTTATTGTCGTTGTTCTTTTATTATGAGCTGTCAAAGTTCACTAAGATAATTCGTTAAAACAACTGACATTATTTTTATGGATTTCGTGTAGTTGTCACATCTTCACGTTTTATATAATTATTACATAAGCCCAAGCGCTAATTAACTCATTTGTCACATCTTCACATTTTCTATAATTACTCCATAACAAAAAGCGCTAATTATCTCAATGGAACTGAATATTAAAGATAGAACTATGGACTTTTCAATAAACCTATAGACATATTTGCGATTGACGTTGTTCTTTTATTATGAGCTGTAAAAGTTAACTAAGATAATTCGTTAAAACAACTGACATTATTTTTATGGATTTCGTGTAGTTGTCACATCTTTACGTTTTATATAATTATTACATAAGCCCAAGCGCTAATTAACTCATTTAAATTGAAAATTAAACTATGACCTTTGTATTGAACCAACTGATATGTTCGTGATTATTAACGTTCTTTTGTTATGAGCTGTCAAATTCGAGTAACAAAATTCCAGATGATTTTCTGTAAGAAGATGCAGCTGTTAAAAAAATGAAGTTGCAGAAGTTGCCTATATACAATGTAAAGTTTAAACATTTCTGATTTATTAAAGCTTCGAACTCAATGCATGTATTTATTGTAAACTCATTACGTTATTAATTAAAGATAAATTATATAAAAACTTTATTATATAATATTGATCGAAAAGCTGTGAATTACAATTGATACATGCAATATCGAAATACCCATGAAACACCTGTGATTATGATTGGATGGAGGCAAAGATTGAGAGGAAGGTAATAAGGATGTGGCATTTGATGGTAATACCAGATAAAACGAGCGAAATAAGGGCACTTAGGGGGTTGGAAGTATGTGTCCTTGGGGACGATCGGGATGAGAAAACCAGTAATTGCCCACCATCAATAGGCTTCCCTCTCGAGTACTCTTCCACTTTCACTACTTTTCCGAAGGGTATCTCCAATATCCGTGCCCTTTATGCGGTTATTAGCGGTTTATGGCATTCTTCTTTATTTCCCACTTAAACTAATATCGCAAGCCACAGCACTGAAGAATTGCAATGAAACAACATCGGTCCCATCAGCCGCGATTCCCATTCAACGACCTTGACCTTCTCCGCAAATTGCAGCAATTCATCATCATTATCCACAGGTGAGGCTAGTCCTCAATCTCACGCCAATTTGAACTTGATCCGTGTCTGCAATTGCATACAATCAGAATTGTAAATTGATCATTTCTATTAATAAAACGAAATTTGATACAAATTATAGATGGAAAATTTCACGCTTGTCCGAAATCACTTCTAATTCATTTTTGTCAATTAGCTTATGTAATTAGGAAATTAACAATTTGATGATTTATCAATAAGCTATAACTTGTTTTGAACAGTGACAGCTATTATGTCAAAAGATGACAGCTGTCATGTCAAATATTTAACGCGATTCTTAGATTGAAGACCATTGTTCTTTAAACATCAAGAAAAGTAAAATCTACGTTATCGAATTTAATATAAAATTTCGTAAAAAGTAAAGAAAGAAATATCGAGAAAATTTGTAAATTATTTGCGCTGTGATCCAATTGGTTATAATATAACAATTTTAACGTTTCGACGTAAAGTGACAGATGTCATTTCGCGAAGTGTAAAAATTGGTAAATTTGACAGTAATTAATTGTAATGCGATCCAATTGGTTATAATATAACAATTTTGACGTTTGGACGTAACATGACAGCTGTCATTTCGCAACCCGTCAAAAATTTACCGCACCTCATGGGTGGAGAATTGCTGTTCTTTAGTCATCGAGAATTGTAGAAACAAAGTAAAAGTAAAATTTTATAAAAATAGTACGAAAAAATATTCAAGAAAATTTATTTCTGGTAGCAGTAATCAGTTGTACAGCGAATTTTTACATTTTGACGTAAGGTGACAGCTATCATTTTGCAATCCGTTAAACCCAATTTTGGTTTACTATCATCATAGGTTGAGAAACGTTGCAATCATATTATGTTTGAAAAATTAACTTATGTTCACAATTAATTGATGAATGAATCAAATAATATTTTGAAAATTATGGAAAAGTACACTTTTCAATGAATTAAATTTAAGTTGAGTCAAATTCTATGTAAAAATGTGACTTCAATCAAAGAAACCACACATAATCCATCAATTATAATCGAATTTCTAATTACGAAATTACTGATCCTAATAATGCTTTATGTTGTGATCATTATAGAGTCATGAATGTACACTAATAAATTCCTGAGAGCAGATTATGTTCTATTTCGGGATTCATATTTCGCTTCCAGAAACGCACACATAAAAAAAACTCATTGTTTGCCCCTAATCCTTTCTGGACTGCGGCCAGTGTCAATATTTGGTAATAATAACAATGATCCTTCGAACGCAAACATCGCATTAAGACGCATCATTCATTCGCAAAATACGATAATAAATTGATAAGTTATGTTGCCTATATCATTTCATATACATTTCTCACTTCTCTCATTCATTTCTGAGAATTAATATCACTTAAAATATTTATTTTTTTAGTGAATTATTTAAAAAATTGAAATAACAAATTTTCTTGATTTTTGCACGTAAGGTGACAGCTGTCATTTCGCGACATATCAAAAATAAAACCTGGACATTTATTGTAGTATCACTGAAATGTTAATTTGTAATATATAGAGCTTCAGATAAAGAAAGACTAAAAGAAGGAAATACTTCTTTGTAATAGCTATAATAAATAAATCAATTCCAACTTGATTCCTATCCTCAGGACACCATAAAACACATTTTATTGTCGTACCTCCTCATAAACAGTGAAAGCATTAATTTACCAACCACTTTTATTGATTGGAACTTAATGTAATACATTTCCAGTTACAATTGATGCATTTTCAAAAATTATATTTTCCATTACAACTTTAAATATAAATAATTAAGTTATACGAGCAAATAATTGAGTTGAAAACTAAAATTGAGTAAATTTTCAATATTTTTTTCAACCAATTTTTGATATATTTGTAGTTTAATTTCGATAAAAAAAACGAAACTAAATATTTCCACTTACAATTGATGCATTTCCAAGCATAATTATTTCTATTACAAAGCTAAGTATAAATAAATAAAGTCAGTAAATTTTTCAACTATTTTTTGATATATTTGTAGTTTTATTTTGATAAAAAACGAATCTAAACATTTCCATTTACAATTGATGCATTTCTAAGCATTTCTATTACAAAGTAGAATATAAATAATTACGTAATGAGAAATGAAAGAATAGTTAAAAAAATTGTTAAAAGTTGTTTGAATATTTTATGATTATAATTTTCTTAATAATTTTATTGTTTGTTTTAAATAATTAGCCGATAATCAAATGATTATTAAATAAGTCAATATTTAACTTTGTTAATCATGAGAAATATGGAAAAGTGAAGGTAAATTTGAAGGAATTAAAGATATTTTTAAGGATAATTTGGACACTACTTTATTGAAAATTTTACCAATTTTTTTTTGATATAAAAGTTTTCTCAAGCTTTTAGCTATTTTGACGTAAAGCTGTCATGTCAAATATTTAACGCGACCCATAGGTTGAAGACCATTGAAGATCGAGAAAAGCAAAATCTACGTTATCGAATTTAATATAAAATTTCGTAAAAAGTAAAGAAAGAAATATCGAGAAAATTTGTAAATTAATTGTGCTGTGATCCAATTGGTTATAATATAACAATTTTAAAGTTTCGAGGTAAAGTTACAGATTTCATATCGCGAAGTGTCAAAAATGTATAGGTTGAAAATTGTTAAATTTAACAGTAATTAATTGTAATGCAATCCAATTGGTTATAATATAACAATTGGACGTAACATGACAGTTGAAATCTGCTGTTCTTTAGTCATCGAGAAAAGTAGAAACAAAGTAAAATTTTATAAAAATAGTACGAAAAAATAATGAAGAAAATGTATATCTGGTAGCAGCAATCAATTGTACAGCGATTTTTTACATTTTGACGTAAGGTGACAGCTGTCATTTCGCAATCCGTTAAACCCAATTTTTGGTTGCGAATTAATTGATGAATGAATCAAATCATATTTTGAAGATTATGGACAATAATACAATAATCATTTCAATAAATTGAATTTAGGTTGAGTCAAACTCTATGTTATTTTATACAATTTTTTTGGATGTTTTGCACATAGATCATATGATTATTAAATAATTCGATATTTAACTTTGTTAATCATGAGAAATATGGAAAAATGAAGGTAAATTTGAAAGAAAGAAATGATGTTTTTCAGGACAATTTGGACACTTGGTGAAAGAGATGAACAACCAACAGAAACGAAAAATATAGAATGAGGGGAGAGCAGTAGCAAAACGTGGCAATTATTTATATAAAAAAGGTCGTCCATTTAAAATCTGCGCCTCCGTTGTCCGTGTGTACAAATGTGAATTTAACAGATAAATTGACGTCCCGTCCCGTTCGGAACGGACAACAAAACTTGCGCGAGTAAAGTCAGTGCTTGGTCAGAGCTAAAAACAACACCACACCATAATCACCATCATTATCTCATCGTCGGTTAATATCATCGATGAGCGACGTTAAGCGAGACGACGACGACGCTGTGTGATGCGTTTGCACTACAATATACACATAAACGGGTAAGAGAAACGCATTAAAAAAAGTAACGTTACGTTGAGGCACGCGCCGATTATCCGAACGACCTTGAACGTCAATTCACCGTTCAAGAGCAAACGCAAATTGGTCCACTTCATGTGTTGTTGTACTTACACTCATCACCTTCTTCATTATCGGCGAAGACACAGACTTTTGCAAATCCTTTTTTGTTTGACGGGAACAATCAAACTTTGATCTCGCGTCTTGCAATAAACACCGTTCCCAACTGACGGATGGTCTACAAAACTTCAAAGGATGTTTGACAATTGTAAACAACGATTTCGAGCAAAAGAAGTAAACAATGTTTTTTTTTGCACATTTTCTTATTTGTTTCTTCTTCGAAACTCTCTGTTTATTTGGAACGTGAATTATTATCAACGCCTTTACAGTTTTCCATTTCAAGTTTGCAACATTTTTTTTTATACTTGTTTGTAGTATTTGCAATAAACAAGATTATTTAACTTTTGCACTCATTTAGAATAACAAATATTTTAGTATTTACAAATGCAGTTTCTAATCAGTTTTTTTTTAAAGAAATATTAACAATGTTTGGAAATAAATTTAAAGAAAACTACAAAGTTAAGCAATATGAATTGGTGACCGCTCCTAATATTAACATAATATAACATATCAATTTGATGATATAATAAGTTTTATAGAAAAAGTTTTTGAATTATTTGCAGACAAAAATAGATAAAAATAACGTTTCGAAAATTAAAATGCATTTTTCTTATTTGTACGGAGAAAAAAATGTATTTATTAGTATTAAATTTGGAGAAAATTATAGAAAAATTGCAACGAAAAAAAAATTGAAGCGATTTCAATAATTTGTCCAAATACTTGAAAATGACAATAAAAAGTACAAAAATTGTTATCTCTCAATTATTAAATAACATTAGAAAACAATTTTTATGTGAAAATGTGCGTAATTTAAGACAACTTCTTATGTAATTATAAAATATATAAATAGTTATAAAGTTTTCGAATTATCGAGAAAAAAATAAGAATATTTTCTTAGAAATATTATTTTTTTTTGTCTGTAATTATTTTTGTAACTAAACTATTAAAATAAATGAAAATTTAACAGTTTATGTAATCAAGTTGTGGCGAATCACAATGAAAATTGCATTGATTATAATGCATTTCCATATTTTGCATGCAAACGATTCCAAATTGAATATATGCTGTGATGAAGCTATCAAAACGATGCTGGGGATAATAGTAATAATAAAACAAAACTAAAATGAAGCTTTGATGTGTAAATTTATGGATATTTATGCGGTGTACGAATCGAAAAGCGACGAAATTGAATATCAATTTTCAATTTAACATTTCCACCAAATCTGTGCAGGTTTTCCTCAATATTTTTGAAGCAGCAGAATACGAGATGAGAATCGTTGCCGATCCAAATCCCAACAGTAACAAAATCTCGACAGTAACAAAATCTCGGAAGTAACAAAATTTCGACAGTATCTTTTATTATTTGATATAGACTTATTCATAATAAAGCTTAACAATAAGAAATAATCTAAAAGGCAATTAGATCTCAATTTTCTTTTTTATATTGACGGGAAACAGGATTTCGGGATTTTGATACTGTTGCGATTATGGTTGTCGGGATTTCGATGTAGACTCAATGAGAAGTACTAATAAGATTATCTGTTTTTTCAGGAACGAAGGCAGCAAACGCATCTACGATGGACTACGACGTTATATCCAATTTCAGCCTGGACTATTATCAGAACGCATCGCAGGCGATCACCCCGGAGGAATCGATGTCGATGATCCTGCACGAAATAGTCTTCTCGATAATCTGCCTGGTGGGAATCGTAGCCGACGGACTGATCATCTACATCCTGAATCGCCTGAAGAACATGAAAGGAGCGACGAACGTTTACATAATAAACTGGTTGATCAGCGACACTTTTTACTTGATCTTGACTCCATGCTTTTACCGGATATTTTCGGCGTTGGAGGATCTTTTCATTGGGGAGGAGATCGTCTGCGTTTCATTCGAGATGGCTTCGATGCTTCAAGTTACAACTATAGCGTTCATTGGTGTGATTTGCATGAATTGGTACTTGGATGTGTTCGAAGTGCGAGTGCCTAGTGGACGGTTGTACCCTTACGTGATTCTCGTGGTGTGGTTGATGGCGTTCAGCGGTATAGTCACCTTGTCCAGTTTATGCATAGAGTTTAAGTATTCGTTGATCTCTCATTACCTGTTGTTCTTCGGGTACGCAGCTCTGATGGTTCTTGTGCTCAGCATGCACTGGACGAGGTACGTGACCAAGGATAGACCTCACGAGATGTTCAATATGAACTTGAACTTGGTCAGCGTCTACGTGATCTGCTGGTTTCCAAGCTGGATATGCCTCTTGGTCTCCGTTGCTGAGAACTACTCCGTCCTCTACTACTTGTCGATAGTAGCCGCTTGTCTAGGATACCTCAACCCTTTGTTCAACCTCTACATCTTCGCCAGATGCAACAGGAACTTCCGAATGTGCTTACTACAAATATTCAGGTGCATCAACAGAGACTACTACAGCATGGAGCAAGAATATTTAGAGCCATCAGAAGACTTATTGAATCGCGTATACAGCGTGGCATAAAAACACTAAAGTTTTCGATAACTTTAGTGTTTTTATCCCAATAACCGAAATTCCGACAATCAAATTCCCGACTCAATCAAAAAATCCCGACAGTGTCTTTTATTATTTCATATAGACTTATTCATAATAAACCTTAAAATTAAGAATTATTCTAAATAAAAATGTATATATTGTTTTTCTCTTAGTTTTTTAATCATTAGATGAATCAACTATCCACAATTTCCATCATCTCCCTCAAACTTTCTTCAATAATTTCATCTTCTCTGACATTACCTCATAGATTTTAATCACTTCAATTGAAAGGTGCGATGAATCAATTGATACGTACTAAAATAAATATCGAGGACGAAACAAATATATTGTGTTTCTTCCCTCGATGTTGTTGTTCGACTCGCCTCTCGATCGATCCGTCTTCGCTAACCGCACAATCCATCAAAACCAGGAAGGTCTGCACCATTTTTTTCTTCTACTTTTGTAATATTAAATGAGATTTATATATGCAATTTTTCCTTGAATACATTTTCAATTCATTCTTCAATATATTTAATTTTTAAAAACGTAAATTTTAGTATTATGTAATTTGTTGTAATATGTAAATAATGTAAGAGTTTTGCTTATAATATATAAGTTATTGTTAACATGTTATTTTTGATATCTAAGAAATAAATTATTACAATTATTAACAAATATTTCTTTATGTACTTAGTATAAAGTAGTATAGGATAGCAAAGACCAAATATTGATGAAAAATATAGTAAGATATATAGAATTCCTCGAGGCTTTATACTGGTTCCATATTAAAAGTTTCTTTATAATTGCAAATTTCAGAACTAAACAATGTTTTAGAACATCATTTCTTCAAAATTCTGAAAGTTAAGTGTACTTAGTATTTTGTATGTAATAAATTTAATAAAAAATTTGAATGTTGAATGCTTAAAAATTTCACGTATTTCTCATATGAAAGCTATGGAAGAATGAAAAATAAATACGAATAGAAGAAAAGAAAATATGTAAGGCTGAAAACACTTCCTATGTCAGTTTATGAGAAAAGTTGGAGCATTTAGCGGCTGAATCACGTGCGTAAGTGCGCAGTAAATATAAACGTTCCAACAAACAGAAGGCAAAAAAGAAACTACGAGAAACAACAAGAAAGGATACACTCGAAAAAAAAACGATGCAAAAGAAGACATAAATAAATAAAACGCGAAAGAAATATTCTTGCAAACGACAAAAGCTATCTCTTCTTCTTTTTTCTCTTCTCTTACGTCTTTGTCGCATGTGACACATTTTGTTCCTCTCTCCGGAGTTTACGTATTTTTAAATATGAATGCACAAAGTCCGGAACAATAGTGCTTGTGTAATCTGGAAGAGATTGCGCGCATTGTCGCTTTTTTATGCTTTCTTCAGCCGGAAAACGAAACATTATTTTCCCTCTATGTATTATGCAAGAAAAAATGACAAAAAAAACGTGAAAGGGACGAATTTAATACGTCAAACTGTCCTCGTTAAAGGATTTTAACATTAAGTTAAGTTCGCTGTTTTTTTTTGGCTCTTTGATTGCATTAACACTTTTTTGCAGGTAAAATTTGATTAAATTTCTATATTCATGACTTTATCACGAAAAATATAATGAGTGGAATAGAAATGTGTATAATTTTTCATTCATCAAAGTGTTTTGTACTTTAATTGTGGTATAAGTCCACATGTTTTTATTGCAATTAGTGTAAATAAATGTACATATTTGTATATCTGTTTTATTTTGGTATAATTGTACAAAAAAAAAACTTACCTCGGAGTGAAGTTGAATTAATAAAGTTTTGAAAAACCTGAAACAAGAAAAAAAATCGTGTTTAAACTTTGACTAAGTAAACTAATATATGGGATTCCCCGAGGTGGCGTTTTAGGTCTTATAGAAAATAAAAATTATAAGAAATATAGAATACGTATATATTGAACGTATTTGTCTATATATAAGAGTGTAGTGGTTATCTTATGTGAGGTTATAGTAAAATAAAGGGTATTCCCCAGGGTAATGTATTGGGAAATAAGAATTGTGTACATTTCAATTTCAATTGAAACCTATTCCACTATAGACAATTTAAATGTCTGTCGTTCTCCATTCACATAACGATACGAGCAAACTCGATGTTGCAAAATAAATAACAGATCCATCACATCCTAATGTCTTATTTCTTTCTCTCTTTTTTATATCTATTTCAAAGTATAAGAAAAAACCATACACATCTATCAAATATATTTCCAGCTGCAGCTGCAATATCCGTTCCAATATCCAATGGACTGTGTGTATGTGCACCATCGCAAATATTGCGAATCCCTAAACAAACTTGCCTCCATATATTTCCGTCTGCGGAAATATAAAATTGTTATTCGTTTGGTGGAGAGAGTAGACAGAAGAGAGGAGTTTGCCGCAGGAAAAATGGAACGATAGAAGAAGAAAACCTGCTGAAACGTAATTAAATAATGAACATAGACGTAAGTAAACAATGAAATCCTGTTAGATGTATAAGGAGAAAGGTGGAGACGGCGATTTCCTGCGAGCAGCAATATATATACGGGAGCTGACTGCAAATGGGGAAAGTCAACTCAAACAAGTGGAATTCCATTTCAGATACAATTGCATTTCCACGTTTTTTTTTGTTTGAGCTTCGCGAAAATACGCTCCGTGGATTCCACTATAATTTTTCAGATTTATCATAATATTATTTTATATTGTCTTTGAATTATAATTTCTTTTGATTATTATTATTATAAGAAAAAAAGATAATTGTAAAAAAAGTTAGGTCATTTGCAACTTTCATTGCGTCCATAGCAACCGAAAGCGTCCTTAGCAACTGACATAGCAACCAATGTAGCGTTCCTAGCAACTAATGCAGCGTCCATAGCAACAGCAAAGCATTTTTATCATGTATGAGATGAGATATTTATGATACAACAATGGTTTCAGTTTGCAAACATAATTTTCAAGTAAATATTGCGTTTATTTAAAACATTCTGATTACACACTTTTCTCACATATGCCAAGGTATGAAATTGTAGTAAAAAGTGAAATTGCTAAACAAACTTGCAAAATTTTCCAACTGAAGCGATAGAGACACACGTTTCTCGCTGCATGAAATTAAACTGTGCAAATATTAGTATTATTAAAACGCGCCGAAGGACCGCTTCCTATCGTCCTAACGAGATTCGGTCCTTTCTGTGTGGACTTTCCTGCATTTTCCGACGTTAAACGATGGAAACACCGGTAACCATAATGTATATTAAATACGAGCGTGAGTAAAGCACGTGCACGGCATTAGATGAAAAATAATTTTCAGAGCAAGTTGAAAGCCTAATTCGTTGCAAATTGCAAGAGCATGCTTTGTATACGAAACACCTCTAACACCGGTAATTGATAATGACAGTTCTTTGGTTGGTAATTTCAGTTACGCAATTTTGGTCCGATTGTATACACAGCCTCGTTAAGTTAACCGCAGGTTAAAAATTGAAGTCCTGATAGTCATTTGATTCAACCAAGTATTTAAAGAAAAATAAAACAATTTGAACTAAAAGTGAAAATTTGTGTACAATTCTCTAATTTTTTGGATATTCAGATCTTGTAAACTTTTCTAGTTAAATATATTTGTAACATTGTTAATTGCCACGTGTACAATACTTACATTTGACCTTGAACTATAAAGTTAACTGTATTATTATCTGTTGTTTTCTTGATAATACCTAATTTCCCTTTGTGTACTTATTGTCTTCAAAGGGATGCGGCAAATCGACTCTTTTTCATATATGTACATATACACATTAATAATACGAACTTTGCTGAAGCTTATCGATTCCTGATGGATATATTACGCTGTCAGTTTGCCTTTGGTGGAGTATTCGTCGTCCCTGGTGAATAGGAAACCCATGGATCCGTGAAGATTGAAAGCCCGTTGATGTTTGGGCTATTATACCGAAGCCGTTTTTGCTGTTCCCTACTTAATGGTACCCGACGGTACGATTTCACCATTCAATCCATTTGTTTTGTAGCAATCTGGACTCTAGATTAACCTTTGACCGTATTAATCATAGTAATCAATGCTAGATGTAGATGATTACTTGTAGATTATGTAAGGAAATCAAATGTTACATTAATGAATACGATTTAACGATTATACCTAAAAAATGGTAATAATATTCTATGTAATTAATTAAATTGTGTTTAAAAAAAATTAAATTTTTTATCAAAAAAAAAATTAAATTTGAAAGATTATTGCAGAAAGGCGGTAAATAACATAAATCTACTTATAGGCGCATTAGAAACACTATAATCTTGTTTTAAATCTGCATATATACTAAGTAGCATTACTAGTTATCGAGTAATTAAGTAAAACATAAAGACGTGCAAAATCATTAAAAAATCTTCATAACTCTGTAATTAATTAGTATTACGTAATAGCGGTTGAATCAAAAGATGCGCAAAAATACCGTTTCTGATGTAATTAGACTATAAAGTAAATATTTGCAATTGTTCTTACTATTATTAAGTGATATTATGTATTAATAATTATGTAAATATGATCTAAAATCTAATAAATGTGATTTTTATAATTCAAAAGTTTTCAATTAATATTGTTTATTTTAATTAATAATTTTATACTGAAATATTGATATCGATTTGAGTATGATTCTAATTGGTAAATTGATACTGGGTTTCGTGTATATGTTTAACGAAATTTGTGGACGTAACTAAATAATTATATTAGTTTCGAAACTAATTACTGACAAGTGCAATTATTGTTGCGGAAACGCAATTAGAAGTTGTATTGTAACTAATGCTTTTTATCAATTTAAAGTTTGCCCTCGTCGACAAACCAAAGTTTCAACTCGATAATAATTAACTAAAGTCTATTCCTCTTCCACATATCCACCAACCCTTACATTCATTCATTTATTTATCAATTAGCTCTAATTTTATCCAAAAACTTATTTTTCTTTATTAATGTTGTTAAAAATATGTCAAATATTATATAAATATGTGTCGCGAAATGACAGCTGTCACTTTGTGTCAAATCGAGGAACTGGTGAAATATTCTTAGCGGTTGGGTCATTATACAATTACCAAGAAATATGTG